CTTCTCTCTTTCTCTCTGTCTGTCTGTCTGTCTGTCTGTTTGTCTCTCTCCCTCTCTCTCTTGAAAGAAAGCTAATGAATGCACAGTGATCACTCTCATAGGTCAAAAAGAAGTGACTTTGATCCAAACAGTGGGCACATGGCTTTGCCCTGTGGCAGCTGAGTTTCAGTCTCTAGTGGGTTTGTCCTTTGCTGCTGTCAGCCTGTATCCCCTAGGCCTTCTTACATCCAGGATGGGACAGAGCACAGGATGTGCCCGTCACTATGGCAATCAAAGCCACCAAAACCAAGACTGTGGCTGTCTTCATGTTGGCTGTTGGGAGCTATCATTGTTATTTAGGACCTCTTGTAAATATTGCCAGCCTTTTTAAAGAACAGTCCATCATTTTAAAGAATAGTTACCTTCAGTCCCATTCAAGCCTCTTGCCCTTCTTCTGCTTCCTAATGAGTAGAACTTGGGCTCACAGTAATAGCCTATGGCAAAAAAGGAAACATTCCACAATTAGATCATGAAACCCCTCCTTCTGCAACCCTTCACCTTGCGAACACCTGCTGTCTGCTCAACCTCATTGGCCTGGTTACTAGGCAACGACCCCTCTCCTTTGATTTCTCAGCCCTACCTAGTTTCCCGACCTAACCTATATAATGTGCCTAAGGAAAATAAAATCTTGCAGCTTGATCAGCCATGTTGTCTTGCTGTCCATTCTTGTGTCTTTGTCCCGTCATTCCAGGTTCCCGAGGGCTAGACCTTCATTGTGCCCTCCTGTCCACAGTAGTTGTCTCTGGAGGGGCTAAAGGCACAAATCAATTTACACCTCACAACACTAGAAGCCTGGGTATGTCAGGAAGTAGTCTATGGGGAAGCATACAAAGGAGAGTTTTCCAGAAACTGCCTGCCAATAGCCTGACTCTTTGTCTATCTCAATTATAATTAGAGTATTGATCTTGGTAGATGGCATAGATAACCAGGAAAAAAATAAAATATGATTTAGCACTTATGTGTTCTTCCATACATCACAAATTGGCCCTTTTTTGAATGGAGAGCAAAGGAAATAGTTGTTTCTGTGTAGCTCAGCAGTTCAGGGTAATAGCTGAATTTGAGATAGCCACTCTGGAGTGTCATGGCCATATGGGACTTCCTGGATGTCTTGCTGTGTAGGCATGTGGAATGTTTCTAGGACCCATGGTATTATGTCCTTTGTAGTTCTTTGGTTAAGATTCCTACACAGGTGTGGAATCTGGGCCCCTCTTACCTGCAGAAGTAGGCAATGAAGTCTCTCCTGGAAGAGATGGATATTTTTTTTCCAGGACAAAACATTATTATTTAATGAACCCAAATTTAGTCACTGAAAGGAACTTCTATCCATGATAACAGACTATAAAGAATTTTGTGACTTCTTACATAGAAAATAGTAGCATGACAATTTGCACCTAGATTTCTAGGATTGATTTAAGACGCCCATAATACATTTTTCAGTTAGGGAGGTGTGGAGTCGAAATTTTCCTTTCTTAAACTTAAGCTAATGATAGTGGCTTCCTGATGGATATTATGCAGTGGAATTCATCCTCAGGAATTCCTGGATATGAGTGATCTACATGCTTGCAGCATCTGCATGGGCTCTGGGAAGACAGTTCTTAGGACACAGTCTCTTTAGATAGATCCTCTTGGAAGTTTGCCTTCACAGTTTGAGGAAACCTGGGAAGTTCAGTGGAAAGCTAGCCATGGGAATGATTGCAGCCCCCAGGCAACAGGTGTGGCTGAGTTACTTGTCAACAGTCAGAACTAACTTGCCAATGAAGTCCTTGAGTCATCCTGCATATCAAGCCCCATCAAGCTTCAAATGACTGTAGCCATAACTGATATCAGTCTGCAATCACAAGAGAAACTCCTGTTGACACAATAGAGTTCCATAAATGAGTGGCTTGAAAAAACTGAAATCTTTTCCTTAGGCACTACTGAAGTTAAAAATCTGAAATTAAGGCGTCAGAGGGATTGTTCTGTCCTTTATAATTATTGAGAAGAATTTTTCCTTGCTTTTTCCAACTTCTGGATGCTCTGCCATTCCTTGGTTTCCAGTAACATCTACCTACTTTCATTTTCATGTGATCTTCCTCTTCCTCTTCCTCTTCCTCTTCCTCTTCCTCTTCCTCTTCTTCTTCTTCTTCTTCTTCTTCTTCTTCTTCTTCTTCTTCTTCTTCTTCTTCTTCTTCTCCTTCTTCTCCTTCTTCTCCTCCTCCTCCTCCTCCTCCCACCGCCATCTCTCTCTGTGTTTGTTTCTGTCTTTGTCTCTTTCTCTTCTTACCTCTCTGAGTCTTTCTGTACTCTCTTCTCATAGCTAACAGATATTATATTTAGAACCTAGTCTAAATCTGAGATGATTTTATCCATAGGTTCTTAAGTAATAACCCCAAAGACACCATTTACAATAGAGTTATATATTGAAGTTTTTGGTAGACATTATCAACTCAGCATGGACTCCATGTAAAACTTACAGCTAAACACTTTATTTCTGAAATTCATTCACAAAATCAATGTATTTGTTAGTATTTCCATTACTGTGACAAATGCCAGGGAGAAATGGAGCTTTAAATCCATGACTAGCTAGCATCAGTGCTGGGGGCCAAGGGAAGGCTGAACATCATGGCAGAGATTATGTGGAAAAGCCAAACTTCATATCACAGAAGAGAGGAAGCATATATGGAGACATAATAGCACTGCAAAAAATCTCTACCTTTCAAATGCACATTCCTAGTGTCCTACGTCCATTAATCTACACCTCTTAATATATTGTCTTTCAGCTATGAACTTATGGGTAGAATGGCCTCATTCTGTTGAGAGTGAGTAGGCAGCCTCCACTGTGATAGTTGGTCTTCTTAGACCAATACTTTTCTGTAAGACAGGCCTTGAGAAAGAAGACTGCTTGGGTAAGCAGAGAAGGTATAGGAACCACAAGAGAACAGTCAATGTCCCTAGTCCCCAGTAGAGAACCTTCCTCTTTGTTATCCTTTTTATAGACTCTAAGATGAGGAGTCGCAGTGGTAAAACACCAACAGCTGTGGGATGCCTCACTCATGGTGTGGCTGGCTTTTGAGTTGTCTTGTGTTTGCAGGGTTACTGCTCAGAGATGGAGGGGGTTTGTTTGGTCACATGCTTCATTCCATTAAATACCAGCCCTTCCATCAGATTGAGAAGACAAGCCTGGGTGTCTGTAACATTTCCCATTCTGCTGGGTGTATGCTATGTCAGAAACAAAGGCAAATTTGTTTGTGATCATTCATAATGTCATAATTTATTGGATAACCATAAGTTCCTAAGATATAGCATGGGAATTTTTTTGCTGCTTTTGTATTTTATTTTTGTGACAGGGTTTGCCTTTGTAGCCATCACTGTCTTGGATCCTCTCTAAGACCAGGATGGCCTCAACTCAGAGATCTTCTAGCCTCTGAATCCCAATTGCTAGGATTCAAATAAGGGCCACCACTTTGCTTAAGACACAGCAGTTTTAAAGGAAGATATTGACCAGGCAGTCCTGCTTTATTGATAGTTCTCATGAAGGGTAACACTGAATCTCTTTATTCCAAGCCAATCACCACTCTCATATCACTGATTTAACAAATACAGTAAATACATCTATCTATATTCATATACACAAATATTATGCTTGGGTATCACAGAAATGGCTGTAAAGGCCACAGCAGAATTATAACGTTTCAGAATTCCTGAGGAGCAAAGAAACACAGGAATCTAAGTAGAATCTAAGATAAAGAAGTAGCATAGAGAGGACAACCTGGAGAAACTATGGTGACTACAGGTCAGGCCACATCAGGTCACCTTTTTGAAAGCAAAGCTGTGGAGTTGAGTTCAGCTGCAGAAGCAAAGTGCAGAGCCAGGTCAGGATGAAGACTGGAGGACAGATGGATGGCAGTTCCTGCTGGGTGAGAAAGAAGACAGATAGATGAGGGGACTGCATGGACGGAGACATAGGACATCAAGTTATGAGGTGAGCCTGAGGTACAGGAGCAGTACTGTGACAGAGAAAGATGTGGGGCACACAATTTGGTGGGCAAAATCTGGAGATCTAGGAAAGACAATGTTTCCTGATTAGATTCTACTCCCAGAGGAAGGGTTTTCCTTTTCATCTCTATCCTTTGCAGTGATCTCCATAAACCCAACAAGGTGAGGGAGCCAGGCAATTAAACCTGGACATGGCTTGTCCCCCATCCAGCTAAGGCCGGGGAAGATCAGAAGCCCTTCCCAGATAGCAGCGCTGAGCTGTATGGATAGGGATTGACCCAGACTCCTAGAGGTATCTCGATTAAGTTCTAACTCCTAATGTAGAGAGGAAGTACTGCTTCTAGTTCATGCTTCTTAATGATTTACAAATTGTCTTAAGTTATGTATACTGGATTCTGGTGGGTCACATGGTCTCCTGAAGTCAGGTGAGTGAGTGGGTCAGAGGTATCAGTATCCCTGAAGCAGTAAGTTGTGATCCACCTGTTATGGATGCTGGGAACTGACCTCAGGTCCCCTAGGAGAGCAGAGTTCGCTATTAATCCCTGAACCAGCTCCTCAGCATCTTAACTCATGTTAAGAAGATCCTACTCCCTAAAGGTCATGTGAAGGCTCCTGGAGTTAGAGATCCAGTCTTGCAAGATGTTATATTGCCTTAGAATGGGGAATTCCATGAGCTACTCCTGCATTATGTAAATGGAATTCCAGCAGGGCTGCTCTGTGGGACGTGCTCAGTTCATTTTGTCTGCTTGAGCAGACCTGTGTCCACAGAATGCACCAGAATATATTGGTATGTTCTCTGCCTTGTTTGGAGGAACAAACATGACATGGAAAGAGGGACTGTGTAGGAGGACCTGGACCTGGTCTTCAGGGATCCTGAAGGCTCTGTGTCCATGGGACTCTCTGAGACTAAAGGGATGGCTCTGATAATCATAATAGTCAATAAGATTCACAAATGAAAAAAAACTTTTCAGCAAGAGAATGCTAAGGATTGTTTATTTTGGACACAAAGGCACTAGGAAGCAGTCACCACATTATAGGTTTTCATCTTCTAAGGATGCAATTCTAGGGCTAGGGAGCAGCAGGTAGTGCTCTGTCGATTCTTATGAAGTCTTCTGGGATGTCCATCAGTCATCATGGTGAGTATGGAATCCATCTCCCTAAGGGCTGTCAGACGTCTACAACACAAATTACATCAAGATTTTCTTCTGTTTAGGAAAGTTCAGATGTTAACCCCTCACTCTATGCTGGTCAGCTCATTGCTTTTTGTATGTTTGACCATGTTGGAGTGCCCCTTGTCCCCACCTTAAGCAGAACATAGTAGACACTGGTGCAGAGCTCTTGCTGACATTCAGACCTGTTTGTGTAGTCTAGATATTTTTAGCTTTTACTTTTATTCCAGCACAGGACTGCCTGATGTGTAAGTAATTCGAATGAATATTCCCATTTACTTCATTATCAACCTCCCTCCCCAGAACACCTGCTCTCCTGGGAGAGTCATATCTCCGAGGCTGGGGAGGTGAAAAAGAGTGAGATATGCCAGTATATGGCCATGTGGACCTAAGTCATGGTGACTTGTGTCACTTTAGTCACTGTGGGACCCTATTTGTAGAGTCAGGGGCCTCAGATCATGTGACCCTTTGCCCTCTGCCATGCACTTTCAGATCCTTTCTATTGGATACATTCAGATGCTGTGTACAATCGGGTGCCAAGGCAAATGAAACTGCCCAGGCACAATCCCCTGGACACTCACTTACTTCTGAATACATACCTTGATTGGTTGTGGTTGTTTGAATGGCAATGACCCCATGACATATATTTGAACACACTGTCCCCAGCTTTTGGAGCATTTGGGGAAGGATTAGTACTGCTGTCTGGTACACCAGCCTCCAGCAGCACAGAATTTTAAAGAAATCCAATGGAGTTGGCATAGAGCAAAATAATTTTTTTATTTGAGGGGGTAGGGAAAAAGGAGCAAGCACATACTTTATGATGGTATAACTCTTTACTGTCTCATATTGAAATCTGCCAGTTTCTGCCATGATGATTCTTTGCTTCTCCATTCTATCTCTCATTTTAGCTGCATCTTTTCTCTCGATGTTTTCCTGCTAATTATCTCATACATGATGTTAATCTTTCATTATGTTCCTGTCATCATGATCCCCAAATTTCTTCCCAGCTCTGTTTTTGTTTCACAGCTTAAAAAGACCCACAAAATCACAGCTTAAAAAGACCCACATTCCATTTCACAAGTGAATGATAAGAAACAGAGTCATTCCAGCAGCTCACAAGCAATAAATCCAGATAAGCACAGAAAAAGAGAAGAGCACTTTCTTTCAGCCAACTCCCTAATTGGTGGACTATAACCAAAACTGCAAAAGGAGAAGCGTTTTTGTTATCCAGGTAGGCATGTAAAACTTAACTATTTCGAGAGTAAGAGAAATAAGGAAATTGTGTGTTACACCCTAACTTTTAAGTGTATAAACCTTTTCAGAATTTTATGGTTAGTGGCCCTAAAAGCTCAACTTCCTCAGACTGGAGACTGTTGTTTACAAAGAGCAGTGTGTTGTCAAGGAGAGTGCAGAGCCTAAGTAAGAGACCCTTCTCAGCAAGTGAGCTTCAGGTGGGTGTAGGGAGGAGGCAGAGGGAGGAGGCAGAGGCACAGAAGGCAATCATACTCGGCATTCTCTGAGACACAGTGATCTAAAAGCCTTTTAAATCTTAAAATACATTATACTTGGTAACCCTAACCTGTTAGAGAATGTCTTCCTATGGTGTCTACACAAAGGCCCAAAACTGAGGGAAGAAATTGTACAGTAGAGAGTTGATCACTGTCATTTGGCACCACAATTAAGATGCTTCTCACTAATTACCTTGGCTGAACAAATCTGACAACTGGCTACGTATCCTCGTAAATAAGATTGCATTTTTCTGTGAATAGTTTGTCTTAAAATTCATTAATAAGGAATCTGGTCTGATCTAAAGCTATTTTTAAGTTTTATACCAGTTGATGGTATACAGCTATTTTGGCAGCTAGGGAAGAAGACAGTTGTTTTCCAAACTCGTGCTCTAAGACAGCCCTTATTAGAAACTTGTAATCTCTGACATGGGTAGCACCTTTTTGTATTTATTTTATTCATCAAAAGTCTTTATAATCTAAAGTTATTAATATCAGTTTGACAGTATAGCTAAGGAGGACAATCCACAGATAAAGATGCCAAATAGCTAGGGATTACATTTATTAGATGCACACAACTTAGAATACAGGCTGTGGGGAATTCCCTATAGTCAATAGTGATAGAATGCAAATTATCACATGTAAAATTACAAGTAGAAGCAAAAAGATATTCTGGTATAGGTATTACTCACAAGTTTGTAAACATGATTTTCACTCTATTCGAAATTATTTACTGGTGGGTTGATGCCTTGAATATTAAATTCTAGTTCCTGTAAGATGGCCTCTAGCAGATTAAGAGGTGTGATTGTCTTGGAGGAGATGTGTCACTGGGGACAGAGTTGGAGGTTTCAAAAGTCCCACACTATTCCCACTTAGCTTGGTCTCTGCTTCATGATTGTGTGTCAAAACTAAGTTTGAGCTGCTACTGCCGCACCATGCCTGACTGCCTTCGGCCATGTTCCCCACCATGATGGTCATGGACTTACTCTCTGAAAGTATAAACCCTCCATGAACTTTTCTTCTATAGGCTGCCCCTGCCATGGTGTCACCACTTTAGGAAAGTAAGGCAGAGACTATACTCACTTCAAAGACAGCCAGTGTGCAGTCCTGTCCACATCCATTGCTGCAGCACTTCATTTGCTCAGGGCATAATTCATCTGCTATACAGTTATCTTCACAAGCTCCAATATAATTTGGGGGAATAGTGGGACAATCTCCAGGTCTCTGCATACCTGAAATACACAATGGTGTTTATTGACGCTGAAGCATCTGAAAGCCAAGGCTGACAATTGATGGTAGAGGTCTGAAAGCCTGCTCTCCTGCAGGAAACTAGCTCACTCTATTTTCTCCTTTGCACCCTGGGTCTTTGTCCTCAGCTTCACCAGCTCCAGTCCTTCTCTTAGGCATGAGTGTTATCTGGTCATTGGGAGAGTGTGTGACCTCCCCGAAGCCTACACAGTTTCCATAGAATGAACCTTCCATGGTTACTGCCCCTTCTTTACATCTGAGAAGACATTATACATGCTCTAATGACAGCCAGACCTCTGTCATCCCACCATACCCCAGGTTCATCTCTAAGCAATTACTCCAGTGACCTCACATTCAAGGCACATCTCCAAACTAGATGAGCTGCCCTGATCTCTACAATGCAACTCTCCTCTCTCTCTCTCTCTCTCTCTCTCTCTCTCTCTCTCTCTCTCTCTCTCTCTCTCTCTCTCTCAGGATAAGCAATACAGAGTGATCACTCTAATAGGCCGAATGAAGTGAGTTTGATCCAAGGAGTGGGCACATCACTTTCCCTGAAGTATCTGATCCCCAGATCCTAGTGCTCACAGATTGACTCTCCTTCAGACACTTACTTCCGGGAAAAGATTCCAGAGAATCAGCAGAGTTCTTCCCTATCACAAGTATAGCTAGCAGAACGACGCCTGTAGTTGTCTTCATGTTTTCTCTGGCCAGGCAGAAGACACAAATCAATATATAGCTTCGGTAACTCTTGATGTGAGAACAGATAATCAATGGAGAAGTCTGTAAAAACAAGAGCTCTCCAGAAATTGCCTGCTGATATCCTGGCTCCTTTTTATATTTCATCACTCGCTTCTGTCCAATCATTTTCTTGGTAGATCAAATGATAACCAGACAAATATCCAGACAACAAATTAGAACTGTGTTCCTCCTGAGCACATTTTGTCCCCTTAAAAGTTATGAAAAAAGAACATAATTGTTTCTGTGTCCTTTAGCATATCACATTGGGAATGAAGATGAGGACACTATGTCCTTGCAAAGAGTGTGGCCCCATCCAGGGCTTCCTGGACATCTGGCTTTGTAAGCATGTGGCATGTGTATGTATGGTGGCTGTGTCCTTTTAGGTCTATGGGTGAGATATCTAAATAGGTATGAAATCTGGGTACCTTTTACGTGGAGAAGTAGGGGATGAATTCTCCCCTGGAAGAGATGAATATTCAAAGATTTCAAAGAGGCTAGAGCCAGTTTTGAGTAAGGAAGCATGCTATCTATGAAATAATATTTTTCTACACTGTGAAAATGAGTCTTTGCCTAAGTACCTTCTGGTTGGTTCAATAAAGAACATAATGTCCAACAGCAAGGCAAGATTTCCAGTCACAGAAGATAGTGGGAGGAGGAAGGGCAGAGTCCTGAGGAGATACCAGGGATTCAGAGCAAGCAGCATGGTCTTCACAAAGCACAGATAATCATGCCATGTGAAAGAACATATATAAAAATGGTATGGATTAATTTAAGTTATAAGAAGAAGTCAAAAGGAAGCCTAAGCTATTGGTCAAGCTTTCACAATTAATAAATATCTGTTTGAGGTCAGACTACTATACACAGCAAAATTCTCAGTCATTACAGATGGAGAAAACAAGATATTCCATGACAAAACCAGATTTTCACAATACATATCCACAAATCCAGTCCTGTAGAAAGTTCTGGAAGGAAAACTCCAATCCAAGGAAATGCACTACACTCACAAAAACATAGCCAATACAAATCTCACTTTATCAAAAACCAGAAATAGGGGAAAAACTCACACAGAATACCACCACCAATAACGAATCCAAAATATGCAAGAATCAACAATTAATGGTCATTAATATCCCTCAATATCAATGGTCTTAACTATAAAAAGACCCAGGCAAACAGAATGGATACAAAGACAAAATCCATCCTGCTGCTGCATGCAAGAAACACATCTCATCTTCAAATCCAGATGTTACCTTAAAGTCTGGGAAAAGTTTTTCCAGTCAAATGGGAAAAAGGAAGCAGGTGTAGCCATCCTAATATCTAACAAATAAGACTTCAAGCGAAAATTAGTCAAAAGATATGAAGAAATTCATTTCATATTCGTCATATGAAAAATCCATTAGGATTAAGTCTCAATTCTAAACATTTATGCCCCAAATACAAAGGCACCCACGTTCATAATAACATTACTAAAACTCAAATCACACATCAAATCCCACACATAGTGGGAGATTTCAACAACCTACCCTCACTTATGATCACGGCCATCAGATAGAAATTTAACAAAGAAATAAAGAACTAACAAAAGTAACGATCCAATTGGGTTTAATAGACATCAATAGAACATTCCATCCAAACAAAAAAGAATATACGTTCTTCTCAGCACCACATGGTACCTTCTCTAAAATCGACCACATACTTGGCAATAAAGCAATCCTCAACAGACACAAAACATTGAAGTAACCCCTGTATCTTATCAGAACACCATGGCTTAAAATTAGAACACAACAACAAGACAAATTGCAGAAACCACACAAACTCATGGAAATTGAACAATGCTCAATCGCGTCACTCCTGGGTAAAGGAAGAAATAAAGAAAGAAATGAAAGACTACCTAGAATTCAATGAAAGTGAAGGCACAATATACCCAAACCTATGGGACACTCTGAAAGCATGTCTAAGAGGAAAGTTCATAGCACTAAGTACCCACATGAAGTAACTGAAGAGTAGCCACACTGGAGAATTAACAGAACACTGAAAGCTCTAGAACAAAAAGAAGCAAAGTCACCCAGGAGGAGTAGATGCCAGGAAATAATCAAATTTGAGCTGAAAGCAATAAAGTAGAAACAAAGAAAGAAATACAAAGAATCAATGAAACAAAGAGTTGGCTCTTTGAGAAAATCAACAGGATAGACAAACCTTTATCCAACCTAACCTAAAGGCACAGAGAGAACATTCAAATTAAGAAAATCAGAAATAAAAAGGGGAACATAACAACAGACACTGGGGGAATCCAATGAATCATCAGGTCATACTTTGAAAACCTGTACTCCACAAAATTATATGCCATCCTAGAGCCGTCATCCAGTAGTTGATGGAAGAAGAAGCAGACACCTACAGTGAACAGTACTCCTGGAACCCAGTTGCAGAGAGGGAGGAGTGATGAGTAAAGGGGTCAAGACAGGGCAGGTGAATCCCACAGAGACAGCTGACCTGAATATGGGGAAGCTCTTGGTCCCCAGACTGATAGCTTAGAGGCCAGCCTGGGACTGAAACAGACCCCCTGAATTTGGATGTCAGCGAGGAGGCCACAGCAATATATGTGGCCTTGGACAGTAGATCCGTATTTATGTCTGGCATGCAAATGGAGTTTGAGAGCCCATTCCACATGGAGGGATGCTCTCTCAGCCTTGAAACATGGGGTAGGTCATAGGCTCTGGATGAAATGACAGACTCTGGAGATCCTCCATGGAGGGCCTCACCCTCCCTGGGGAGCTGAGTGGGGATTGGTTGCGGGGGTTGGGGAGGTGGGGGAGGAAGGAAAGGAGAGGGAGCTAGGTTTGCATGTTAAGCAAGCTTGTTTCTAATTTCATTTTAAAAAGATACATAAAAAACAGGAAGTGTTGTGTAATAATTTTTGTACAAGGTGAAGATGTGTTTTTGCCAGAGTGGCTACTGATGGTTTAATAAAGAGCTCAATGGGGATTTTGGGAGCCCATTCCACAGGGGAGGGCTTGGCCCTGCCCTGGTTGAAATGACAGACTCTGGAGTTCCCCCATGGAGGGCCTCACCATCCCTGGGGAGTGGAGTGGGTATTGGTTGGGGGTGCTGGGAGATTGGAGGGGAGTCAAGGGAGGAGGGGAGGGAGAGGTAGCTGGGATTGACATGTGAAACAAGCTTTTTTCTAGTTTAAATAAATGAAAAAAGTTGAATTGTCAATAGCTGGGAAAGATTTCTAGGCACAGAGGAGGCTAGCAAGAAAAAGGGCAGAGTCCTGATGAGATGCCAGCGACTCTGAGTAAGCAGCAAGGGCTTTACATATAAAGATAATGACAACCTGTGAAAGAGTACAGATTAAACGATATGGGTTAATTTAAGTTATAGAAACTTATTAGAAAGAGGCTGAAGGTATCGGTCAAGTTTTCATAATTGATAAGGAGTCTCTGGGTGGCTCTATGGACCTGGATAGACAGTACAGAAACATCTGCCTCCAGAGGCAGGTTCCCCTATGATGGTTGTTTTCCATAGACCAATGCTTTTCTGTAAGACAGGCCTTTATATACAATGCTGCACAGATGTGTAGAGGAGGGATGGGAACCAGGAGGGCATGCATTGTCCCCAGTCCCCTAGTACAGAATCTGCCTCTTTTCCTGTTCCATTTATAGACACCATTGTAGGGGTTAAATATCAGCAGCTGTGGGAATACCCCAGTTATCAGGTGGTGGGCTTTGGAGTTATCTAATATTTACAGAATTACTTCTCAGGGATTGAGGGGGTTTTGTTTGGACACATGCTTTGCTCCATGTGTTTCCAGTCCTTCATTCAGATTGAGGAGACATGCCTGGGTGCCTGTAACTTTCCACCCTCTATTGCATGCATGCTATATCATAAACAAAGACATATATATGTGTGTATTTGCTTATAATGTAAAAATTTATGGTATAACCATAAATCCATAAGACACTACAGTGGTTTTGTTGTGTTCTAATTGGTTGTTTGGTTTTGCCTTTTGTTTTTGTGACAGAGTTTATCTGTGTAACACTGACTGTGCTGGAACTTGCTCTGCAGATCAGGCTGGCCTCAAACTCTGATCCATCTGCCTTTGCATTCGCAGTGCTGGGATTCAAAGTATGTAAAACCACCAGGACTCTTAAGGTACACTGTAGAGAGCTGCGAAGTGCTGCACCCTTAAGATGGTGCTGGCTTCTGCCTTTTGCTAGCCCGACAGCAGGTGCTCTCTGTGATAAACAACTCCTTATTTGGTCAAGGCTGGATATCAGGCTTGCTTCCTCGTATGTGGACCTATCTGCTGTCACCACATGGCTTACCAGGGTTGGCCGCCCAAGGGCCTTTTTAAGCTGTGGGCGGGCACTCCCTGGGGTCAGAAGATTTGTTCAAGGTCCTGAATAAACCGCTTGTGAGAAGGATTCCTGAGTCTCGTCTTCCTTGCTGATCGAGGTGGTCGTGACAGTTGGTGGCCCTTACGGGGACGCTCGTACGAAGAAAGGAATTCAGAACTCACAGCGGTCAGGGGGTGCACCGGTAAGTCCCCAGGTAAGGCGGGGATCCGCGAAAAGAGCGGGATTATTGTTCTCACCCATAGAGAAGGGGAGAACGGTCAGCAGAGCCACGTCAAAGCGGACGGGACAAAAAGGAAAGCAGCAGAGCCGCGTCAAAGCGGACGGGACAAAAAGGAAAGTAGAGCTGCGTCAAAGCAGACGGGACAAAAAGGAAAGTAAGTAGAGCCGCGTCAAAGCAGACGGAGTAAAAGTGAAACAAAGGGTATTATTATTTTTCTTGGCCCTTTGGGTGGTATTCAATTTTATTTTTTGGGTTTTCTTTTCACTGTTTGTTATTAAAACATGGGTAATTCCACATCCCGCCCAATTTTTCTGGCACTCAACGAGTTGCTGCGATCAAAGAATCTTAGACTAAAAAAGGGACCACGACAAGAGCGGGGCAAAAAAAGGACTGGGACAAGAGCAATTGGTTTACTCCTCTCTGTAGGTAAAGAGAGCAGGACAAATGGTTCTTGGAGCAGAGAACCGAAAGTAA